TGTATGTTAGTGCACGTGCACACACACATTTCCCACCCATACATGTGCACCTGCACATATACAAACATGTACACATAATATTAAAATTAAAATAGAAACACTTAAAAATGAGAAAGGCGGGGGCTGGAAAGATGGCTCAGCAGTTAAGAACACTGGTTATTCTTGCAGAAGACCCAGGTTTGAATCCCAGCACCCATATGGCAGCTAACAACTGTCTGTAATTCCAGTCCCAGGGGATCTGACAGCCCCTTCTGACCTCCGCAGGCATTGCATGACACGGGTGCACTTACCAGCAAGCAGGCAATACACGCATACACATTAAATAAAAAAAATCTTAAGTGGCAAAGGAGAGACTCGCAAAGGCCAAGCATCAGCTGATACACACCTCAGTACACAGCCCTGCTATAGGAGGACTAGAAATCAGGGAGTTAGTTAACTGTAAGTAGGGCCAGGAATCTATTACTACAGCCAAGACAAGGTGGTCTGTGAGCAAGGAAGGCACCTCTGAATGGGGCAGGTGTCCATGAGTGGGGCAGGTCCACATGAAAGACGCAGGTATTTCGGGGGGAGGCAGGTGTCTGAGGGGGCAGGTGACTGTGAACAGGACGGCATATGAAAAGGAAGGGAAAGGCACTTCTGCTTCCTAGAGTGTTTCTACAGGAGCACATGGTCAAGGGATGGGTCACTCTAGAACGTTCCATGTGCTCCATTTCAACCTGGTTCCTGGAGGCTAATGGGGAGAGACATGGGGCATGAGGGAAGCAATTCTTAGATAAATTCAGTGAAGTGAGGAACTTGGGAGCCTTCAGCCCAACTGCAGGACACGTCACCTGACCCCTGACCACCAGCTAGGCTGCTCTCAGTTCCACAGGCCTCACCAGCAAAGGTGAGGGGACAGCCAATTCAAAAGACTGTGACCTGAAGCCCAAGAGAGAGCAGTCTGTTAAGATGGAAAAGAAATGGACAGTGTCCATTCAGAGCTCACCTCCTCTCCTCACTCCATCCCTCCAACACTTGATTCCCATGGGAATCTCTCTAAGCACAGACTACTGCTGAGTGCATGATGTCTGGACATGTCCAACTGCCCCTGGACTCTTCAGGTAGAAGGGACACAGGAAGCCACCCCACCCCAGCTCTGTATTTCAAAGTGCACTTGTGCACAACATACCCTTTAGTGACTGTTTATTTCATTAATAACCCAGTCACTTGCTCCTCATCAAGACATGTCATGTGAACAGCCCCTCAACTCAATGGAGGCTGTCATTTCAGGCAGGGTGAACTCCCACAAAGTGGACATTTTCTGAATGTGCTCATCCCTGAGGCATACAGAACTAGTACCAGAAGCCCAAACCCACCGGGAAACCCAGTCGGGCCACTCGGGACCCATGCCATCACATCACGCCCAGAGGCCCACAGCCGAGTATGACCAGGGCTGACCAGACTGTGACACAACCTCAGTCACTGCTCCATATCAGTCAAGGAGTGTGAATTCCAAGGCCAGGCTGCTGCCCTGCAGGGAGACCTGAGAGCCAGAGCCTATGCTGCTCACCATTTCTAGGTCAAACATAACACAGTTCTCCTGGGAGTAGGAGGGGGTCCAGTGTGAACTGCCACGTCTACGTCCACTCACTTCCTATACCCTGAGCCTAATCTCAGGGCAGGGCGGGACCAGAAAATCCTATACTTAGACTAGGAGAGCAGAACCCTGGACAAGGAGTTTTCTCAGATAGGGAAACAGAGGAAGGCAGAAGGCCTGTGGACCTGGGTACCTCTATCCACCCAGGTCCTTCTTTGTGCTTAGCATATGAGGCAGTAGGAATGGCACCCCACAAAGCTGCTGACTGCCCTACCCAGTGCACCTACCTTCCTAGAGCTCACATCTTGGGCCTTGGCCCACACTGCAGCCCTTACCGCCCCTCAGCAGGAAATGCAAGGATACAGCCACCTCAGGGGCGACTACTGGAGCTGCTGGCCTATAGTTCTAGAATGAGAGAATAGGGTAGTCACAAGTCTTGATTGTGGGATCAAAGATGTACCTGCCAAGGACAACAAACACAGTAAACCCTTGTCCCTAAGTAGAAACCTCAGACTAAGCATGTGAAAGAACCCAGTGATAACTTAAGGTTATTCCCACTGTCTGGCCACAGATCTGGTCTCCCCAGAGCTGAGATAGTCGTAGAAACGAGAGTGGAGGTAAGAAAGTGGTAGTCCTCCCACATCCCCAGCATTTAGTGTGGGCTCCAGACTCCAGACAACTGTCTAATCAAACACTGTTTTCAAAACATCCTCCAGAACATTTGCCAATACAGCATCCTACAATCCCAAATGAGTCCAAATAGATAATATGAAGACCCAAAGACATGTTCACTTTCACTACAGGTACATGTTCTGAGATCTGGTTATGGCATAGATGCTGTGGGGCTGCTCCTTCAAGGGCCCATCCCACAGTGGCATGCCAGTGTCGCCACCTCACTCCCTTGAGAAGCTCCATGTGGCAGGTCCCGAGGATGCTGAAAACCCTCCAAGTGATTGGTTCCTAACTCACCATCAACATGGCTTCATGAGCACCAGATGTACATGGGTGACCCCAAATTGCATGCCACATATCTCAGCATTATTCTTGCACAGTGAAAGAAGGTTGTGAAGACCGGCCAGCAGGCGCAGCTGACCTGGGACCAGGACAACACCCTGGCAGGGGCTGAGTGGTCACTCCAGAAAACATGCGTCCATCCATCCCAGAACCTCTGCACGGGATCTGGTTTGGAAATAGGATCTTGACATGAGGGTCACCCTGGATTACCTGTAGTTGGAGGGTAAATCCACTGCCAATGTAGGACGCAGGAGAGAAGAGAAACAACATGCAACTGTACCTGCAGATGTCCCTCCGAAGCCCTCACTGTGATGCTGAGGTGGAACCTTTGGAGGAGTTAGGTCAGGCTCCTGGGATCTCATGGATGGAATAAAGCCTCCTAAAAGGGCTGGAGGGAACTGGTTGAGGCCCTTCTACAGTGTGATAACAAAGGGCCCAACCTCTCCCCTTGAGTATGCAGGCACTACCTTGGAATTAGACAGCCACCCTTGCCAGATCCTGAGCCTGCAAGCTCTTGATCCTGGACTTTAGGCTCCACAACTGTGAGAAATAAATTTCTGTTCTGTATAAATTACCCATCCATGGCATTTTGTTAAAGCAGCACAAGTAGACCGAGAGGGACGGCTACATGAAGAGAGGCAGGCAGGCAGGCAGGCAGAGTCAAGGCACACGGCCAGGAGCACCTGAGTAACTTGAAGCTGGGAGGGGCAGGAAGGACCTGCCAGAAGCCAGGGCAGGAGCACAGCTTACCCGACATGTTGGACTGCAGGCTTTCAGGACTGCCAGAGAACGGGCTTATGTCATGTCAAGTCACTCAGTGTATATCATATCATCTTACCAAATAGCCTCTTAACTCTGGCAGAGCACAAGGGAGCAGAAGGGGAAGCAGGGCTCTCAGTGGCAGCAGCTTAAGCAGAGGACCCTTGCAGGCAAAGCCCTGGAGGGAGGTGAGAGGTCTAGATGAGGCTAGACCCTAAGAAGTCAGCCCAAACAGGCTAGATTTCCTATGACACCCACCTCACCTCCAACTGTCATGTGTCAGGGCAGAGAAAATGTAGGTGCACAGGTGAGGTGAGCAGAGACACAGCAGGACGCACATGAGATTCCATCAGAAATCTCGGGGAAGTGACGTTGTATTCCTGTGCACAGTGGCCACTGCCCAGATCCAGATGCCCTTAGGGTGGGGAAGGTTTGGCACAGGATACAAGTATACTCTTCCTAAAGGATAAGATTCTAAATGGCACCAGACTGGAATTAAGGACGTCTACTCATCAAAAAATGGTTAAAAACTGAAAAGGCAAAGCTTGGATAGGGAAAGAAATCCTGGCTTGTCCAACAT